TAAAAGGAAGAAGAAAGACATATGGATTATTAATGAGTGAAAGAGATTAACTCTGATGGTGGGCTCAGTTTCCATCTGGGAATGCAAGAAAATGTAAGATAAAAATATTTCTTTTACTGAAAATCAAAGTATTTTATTCAAGAGAAATGGCTTTGTATTCAGTTGGTAAAGGAATAAAGGATGAGAGGTAATGTGCTGGAGCAGGTTTGAAGAAGAATAAAAAAATCCTCAGCAAGTTTCACTAGGGGGGTTTTATTTCTCTCAAGGATCTTTGAAATCTTGAAAGAATAACAAAGATTGAAGCTTTTCTTCTTTAAACCATTCATCTTTATTCTTATACTGTGTGAAGAAAAATCCAATAATTAAGCCCACAGAGGTAACACAATACAGAATTAGAGTTTGTGAAGAAAATGATTTTGACAAATGAATATTCCAAAGCCCAAAAGTCACATTTTTGTGTACAGATGCAAGGAGAAATTCTGTACCTCCCACTTTTCTCTGTACAAGTGAAGCCACAAGCTCTGGCCGTTTTTTACAAATCAATGCTTATTTTGACAATCCTGGTGCTTTTTGACACTAATTTCTACCAAAATATAGAAGAATCTCTAAATTTTATTCTTTGAATCAGTATAATAATACAAATTATCACTGAAGTGATGCCAAGGATGGACTTATCACAAATTATCAATGAGCTTTATCAAAGGTTATTAATTACCCTATTTGATTTTGAATAGACCTTAAGTGACTGTATGTACTTTAACCCTTTAAAACATCTTTGAATTTTTTACCTCACTATTCAATCATGTTGTAATTTTCTTTTAATGTAGCACATTGCCGAACTCAAAGTGTTACTATGTTGTATAGAACTTTTGCATAAGAACATAGATATTAGTTGATATAATTTTTATATTTGAGCATGTTTCATAAAATTCGTTCACATATACAATATATATGCATTGTAAGATTATATTAAGTGTCTGCATATAGATATTTGTCACTCTTCCATTTTTCTCTTCCATTTTTCTCTAAAGTTGTTCAAACTTGGCTTTCTAGTTCCTCCTGAATTCCAGTGATTATTCTGAACTTGCTCAGTCAATAAAACACAGCTCTTTTCATGCCTATCTCTGCACATTACACCAATTCATTTGTAACCCTCCGTATAAATGTGTGTACTCATATTTTAAAGAACACATACTATCTAATGTGATATTGACTTCTCATGAAGTGCTGAGAAATTCTTAAGCCAATTATGAAAGGTACATTCTGTAATTATTCTTCTTTTAAAAAATCTTACATGCATGTACAGAGAACTCTTTACACAAGATACAAGGGAGTCTCATACTTTTGGAAAGAATGGTTTTAAGTATGAAAAATACTTTTCTTTCCATAACACCTGAAATTTCTCCACTTGTTCCTTATGTCCTTGTGATTCGGATTCCTCGGTCATAAGTAATTCATTGTAAGCTCTGAACTATCAAAACTGCAGTTTTAAGGTCCATGTGTAAGACAGAGTTTGGGTGCACACCTGCACACAGAGACCAGATAAGCACACTGATGCAGGTAAGAGAAGGAGGCTGAGGCTCAAGAGTCCTGAGTCTGTGGCAGAGCAAGCACTGTCTTTCCCTATGCTGCAGTGTATACAGTTCAGTCAGTGAGGAATTTCTTGTCTTGTTTGCTCCTGGAGGAGGTCCATCAAGCCACTGTGCTATGATTTTGAGTTGGCATCCTTCACTTGGTGTGAAGTAAGGTCTGTGTGGTTCTCAAGTTCTGTAGGCATTTATGGAGCCCAGTCTGTGCAGATAGTCTCTCAGCACAACTACAGGCTGCTCACAAGTCCCAAGGACCAGGGATAGACACTGGAGAATTTGAAGCCCTGTGAAAAGAAAGCTTTCCCTCAGACCAGAGTGGATTCAGTGGACTTAGTTCACACTCTCAGTTTGGGTATCATCTGTAAACGATCTTCCTTTTGGAAAAAGCTATGAATTATTGGAGGTTTCTATTTCTACTGTTGATAACTAACATTTTCTACAACAAACTTGTATTGAATTTGTACCTTGGAAAAGTTACTTAAAAATATAAGTCTATTCTCTGCCTTCCCGTGCCTCATTCACTTACAGCTGAATTAACTTACAGAATATGTCACCAAATAGTCAATTTAATGTGGTTTTTATATTGTTGAACTTAACCCTTCTGGTGTTTCAGATTTTTTAATTTCCTATCATTATGTATAAGTGTAAATGGAGTGAAAGGGTTATTTGAGTCAAATGGATAAGTAATCTTTCATGTATCCTCTGGGTTATGCTGTGCAGAATGTCACTTCCTGGATGAGGGTGAGGGCATGCCTTAGATCTGTGCCGAGGTCAGCCCTGGTGAACAGTAGGTGATAGTGGAGTCACATGAACCACAGAACCACCATGTGGTTCCCAGCAAAATTCTAGCTGTAGGAGGTTACACAGGAATGTGAAGGCTACGTAGCTGAAGGAAGATACAGTAGGGTCAAAATTTGTTCTCCAGTACCCAGATTCTGTGACATAAGCTACTATTGGTGATGCCATTTCTCAACCAGTCTTTATGATTATTTTACCAACTCTGTGTTTAATGAGATTTACGTGTATGTGAGACATTTGATCTGGAACTGAGCCACAGCCGAACTCTCAGAAGTCGATGGGCTGTTCCTTCATGTCAGGTGACATCATAGATGAGTGTTTAGTTCATTTCTGGTTTCCACATTTCCCTCTCTTCTCTTTTTGAATAAATACAGTCCCAAGACTTATGTGGTCAAAGAGGCTACAGTTCTTACATTGTAAGGAACTGATACAGGAAAATATTTAGATACTGGCTGGTAGGTGACAGACACAAAAGTCTATATATTTTTGGCAGTAGAATCCCATACTGTGCACCTCCAAATGAAGAAAGTTGTGACAGGCAAAAGGGGCAGTAAATTAAGTGAGAAGGGGCTGTGCTGTTTTTACATGTCTGAATCTTCAGATACAGACACTTGCTTTTGTCTTAGTATATCATTGAAACCTAGCAGAGTGCCAGACACATAGAAGCTACTCAGTCATTTCTGGCAAGTTGAATTAAATGGAACTGATCAACTCAAGTCAAATGAGACCTCAAAACTGGCAGCACTGAAGAAAAACAAGATGTGAGGTATGTGGTAAGATTTTCTTGAGTTGTCAGAAGGAAGTCAATACAAATGCTTCTGATGAAAAGGATTCCAGAGTACAGCGAGAGGTTTTGGACACCATACAGTTGTTTGGTTAAAGATGATTTACAGTGACCCCAGGATGGGAAATCTGCCTGTACCTTCTGAATCCATTTTACTGCATAACTGATGAAATCTACAAAGGATATATGAGAAGACCTGACAGAGAAGATTTCTGAGGATTTCTGTTGTAGTCTGGCTGATAGTCAACAGAATTTTAGAAGAACAACAGTTTGATGAAGAACACTCTACATTTTAATCACTACTTCCTTCTCAGTCTTCTCTTAGCTTTTTCTCTTCAATTATTTACTAACTGTATAAATACTTGTCAGGTATGGACATATGTTCCCAAGTATTTCTACCAAATTCTCCAGTTTCTCCTTACCTCAGGAACTTGTTCATAGAATTTTACCTCCAAATGTGGATGTGGGAAATTGTTGCAGCCTTCTAAGTATTGTGCCTTTATGAATGTGTCATAATTCTGAAGTATTTTCAATAGAAAGTTATTCAGCTTGCTGTATAATAAATCGAGGATGTTGTTTTTCAGCAGAAATTTATAAGACATTTTATTTATAAATGAAAATGATGGATTTCTGAGGTTTAAGGAAAAGTAAATCTATTTGCATGGCTTCAAGAATTTAGTTTATATTTTGCTGGATGTGATGGGTCACACGTGTAATACCACAGCTCAGGAGACAGGATGATTATAAATTCAAAGCCAGCCTGAGCTACACAGAGAGACCCTGTCTCAAAAATTTCATATTTTGAATTTGCAAATAGACATTATAGACATTTTTCATTAAATACAATAATTAGATATGAGAACATTTTTAATTCTACAGAAGAAAATTTGTTCAAATTTAAAAAGGGAGATAAGGCAGAGATATTTCAGTTACTGGCAAAAATAAACTAAAGTATTTCTGGAACAAGAAGTCCTGTTAGTCATACAAACATTCCTAGGTAAGAGCATCCATACTGTCATTGAAATAAAAGAAAAGGCCTGAACACAATACATTTCATTCTAACTTTTGCCCTATAATGTGACAACAGAGAATTCCTGAATCTCTCACTTGAGTTTCCTCATTTGTGAAATAAAGTCAGACTCTTAGGAATGGAGTGAGGCTCAAGTAAATTAATGTACATACACTGAAGCATCGCAAGCATAAGACACAATTGTAATTTATGAAAATATCTTGTGTACAACAGGAAAGAGCATTGAAAAGGTATGTGGTGGTGGGCTCGGGGTGGCTGCTGTCTGGGGCACAGGATAAGTCAAGACTACTAGTAAATTCTGGTCTTGGCTTCATATCCAGCTGTGGCTTTGTTGATCACTGACTGTTCATTTGATAAGTAAAATATTAAGAAGCTTGACATTAATATTATAAACCTTGGGGAGGATGTGCATCCATAAGAGATTTAATTAAGTGCTAATTTGCAAATATTTTATATTAGCTGTTGAAATGTAGCACTGACATAGACTACACCCAGAAATACTTCATATATGTATGTGTGTGTGTGTGTGTGTGTGTGTGTGTAAACACTTATGTACTTGGCTGATAGAATTTCTAATTTGTGTATTTAAGGCTTACTTGTCTATTCTATGACAGAAGTGTCTGAAAATGTTCTTTTTTATACAGATGTATTAAAGACAGAGAAGTACATGGATGTAGACTTCAGAAAATGTCAGTAGTTCACTTAAATGGCTTAGTGTACCCTGATGGAACTAGATGCTCTAGGTTTTTATATTCTCAGTACTCCTCAGAGAGTACAGGACAACAAAATATTCTTTTTTTGGTGGTAGTGGGATTTGAACTCAGGACCTCCTGCTTGCTAGGCAGGTGCTCTACCGCTTGGGCCACACCACCAGCCCAGCACACCAGGACAACAGAATGGATTTTATATTTTTGTGATGGTCAAGTGAGATGCTGTTTTTTATATATATTTCATAAAACTAAGCAATGTATCATTCATTCCTTTATTGATTCAATGCATTTATTTAGCTACACATTTATTAATTAAATGCAACCTTGAGTCAGATATGTATAATGTCCATAGAATGCTTATTTTTATAATCTTAATGATACTTTCACAGAAGCAACTATGAAAGTTTAAGAATCAAAAGTATGAAAGAAAATAGACATTAGCTCTCATGAACCTGGTAATAAAATGCCACTCATTTATAATGTAAATCTTGTCAGTATTTGAAGTATCTGTGGAGTAAACAGATACTTCTGTTTCATAATATATGTATTTTTTTTTCATTGTAGAAAAACAACTTCTCCTAATAAAATAGCAATAACTGTTTCCACAATCAAACAAATGCTGATATAGTGTATTATTGAAATATCAAGATTAAGAGATTTCTACTCTTAGCATTACATTATTAATGTTAATAATAAATTAGTAGAAGCTGCATTCTCTTTACTTGTGTCGTACAATAACTAACAGAAGTGAAAATTTACTTATACAAAACTATAGCTAAAATTAAAGGCAGTGAAAATGTTTATGCTAGTTTTCAATAGGATGTAAACAAGTGATTTGCTAGTTTTGGTTGTTAAAGTGTGATATCCCACCTTCTTCATGGACAGTTTTTACAATAATTGACTTTTTCAGTCTGAGTGATAGATTTAATTTGAAGGTAAAAATCAGGGTGTGTGTGTGTGTCTGACATTGCTGCTGATTAAAAGAAACAAAAGGAAAGATCCTTGATATTTCAGCACTTTCATCTGAATGACTTAAATCCAGTTCTCATCATGCACCTCGGAACCTACAAAAATCCCAGGGTCTTTTATCTGAAACAGTCAAGAGCCCATTGAAGTGTCAGATTTAGTGATGTAATCAAGAACAATAAGTCAATAAAATCAGCCAAGAACAAAATCGTTGTTTTTATTTGGTAAAATTTCTCTTGAGAAATGGAACAATAGATTTTATAGAACTCTGAAAATTCCAACCATTCATTTCCTTTTGATAGAAGCCCAAGGCTTATTTTTTCTGTGTTAAATTTCAATTTAGGATCCCAGTTATTAGAACAATATTAAAGTTTTGTGAGTATTCTAAAATTGCATCCTGTTGTTTCAACTAGTCATTTAAGTGTGTTGTGTTTTGTGTGTGCGTGTGTGCGTGTGCCTATGTGAGAAAGAAGTGGCAGGAGAGCCCATGTACTGACTTCTAAGGAAGTCTGGCAAGTCTTCAGGAAATGTATCATTTAGAAAAAGTAGAAAGATTCATAAATTCCATTTCTACTTCTGACTTTTTTAAAAAAGAAACCAAACAAAAACTTTCACCCAAGACTTTTAATCTTTGAATTAGTTTTCTTACCTAGTATATAAAAGTTATTTGGAATTAATCTTATCCTCATTGAGTTCTTAGGACCATCAAATTTGTATTTAAAGGTGTTTTGTGCCATTTTAAGGAATGCGTTACATGGTTATAAGACATAACTTTATGATACTCATTTTAAAATTCTTCCATTGCCATAAAAATTTTCTATTACACACTTGAGAATAATTTTATGTTCCTGTCATTTAATGAACATATACATTCCCTGGTATAAAATGTCTATGGATTATATTATAGAATATCTTATTTTATGTTTCTATTGACATTTTTATTCTTATGGGAAATAAAGTCATTTAATTATCAGTTAAAATAAGTGGAATATTTTCTAGGCAAATATTGTATAGAACAAGCATCACTTAATGAGAAAAAGAAATACTAGGTAAAAGCAGTAAACAGAACAAACATATTTTGAGGGGAATAATGAATACACTCACGTGAAAAGTAAACAATAATATTTACCTCAGGCTGAACATGATTGTATCCTGATGATCCAGAACTTTACTCAGTAAATTAAAAAGAAATAATAGCAATTTCAGTAATGATAGCTATAGAAATAAAAGCTCAATAGTCATTAGTAAATATATAAATATTTTTACCAATTTATTAATAATTGATAAATATAAGGAATTATTAATTAATAAAATATGTATACTAGGAGAAGAAACTAGTATGGATATTCAAATTCAACATTGAAATCAAACAATAACACATAAAAGAAAATGTGTCTATGGATATTATAGAAGTAATCAACAGACAAAAAAAATTAAAAACCATTTCGTATGAAAAGGTACACTAAAATGAATGAGTAGAACACTCCAAAATATAACATAATCTTATGAAATTAAGACCAGACATACAGGACACATAAAAATGTTGACAAATCATCTACTAACATTAAAAAAATTCAAATTGTCTCATAAAGCAGAATTCTACTCTATGCTGTTTATGAAAGTGACAATAGAGAAAATAACTCATTGAGGTTATTAATAGAAGTATTTGCAAAATACAACAGGCCAATCCAAATAAACAGAATAATACCAAAGAGGGTCATGAATGTAGAATAGCTTTTCAGTCGAAAGGATGGAGACATATATTTTATCGTACTTCAGAGTATAATTCACACTGACAATAAATCAGTTATCAATGTGTATTCATGAACTAACAGTGACATTTGCATACAACATAATTCATGACTATAAGAGAAACTTATGTGGTACAAGAAAAGAGAAAGATTTAACAGTTGTTAATAATAGCCTATTTTAACACAGACTTAAATTGATCAGTGAGCAAAAATTTAGTGAGAATTTGGAAGATACAAAATTGATACCAGTGGGAGAAATGGCACAAACAATGTATGCACACATAAAGAAATGAATAAAGAAAAACAACAAAGTTGATACCAGTGGGAGGGGAAAGGCGGTAGGGTGTAAGAGGGTGAATATTGTGAAAATATTGTGTACACATGAATGTAAATGGAAAAATGATACATGTTGAAATGATTTCTTGAATGGAGGGAGGGGGAATAAAGGAGAATGGTGGAGAGAGTGAATTCAAGTATGATGTATTTTATATATTGTAGGAACCTTTGTAAATGCCACAATATACCTACCCAGCACCATAATAAAAGAAAAATAGTCACCAAAGACATACGATGGAGAAAACACAGCCTCTTCAACAAATGTTGCTGGGAAAAGTGGTTATCTGCCAGCAAAAAACTGACACTAGATCGTGTTTATCACCCTGTACTAATATCAACTCAAAATGGATCAAGGACCTTAATATCAGACCTGAAACTCTGAAGTTAGTACAGGAAAGAGCAGGGAAT